CCACCCCCCTATTGTCATGAATCAGGGTGATGATTTCTCAGTGGCTTGGAAGCCAAGACACAAAAGGGCAGCTCCTCAGAGCTCTGTCCCAAAAGGAAAGAGCAGGAAAACCCTCCAAAAAATGAACGATGGGTTCATGGGAATGGAGACCTGGAAGGGATTTCCTAGGACATTGAATCCAGTCCCCTGCTGTGCAGAGCAACCACAACATCTGCTCCTGGCTCCATTGAGCAGCGTGGAGACCCAAAATATTATTGTGTTCACCAAGGCATTACATAAATCCAGGGAGGATGGGTCCACGAGCTCTGTCACGAGGAGTTTACTAAGCTGGTGGAAAGGTCGAGCGAGGAAACCCTTGTGCTGCCACTGTCCTGTGTCCTGTGATCCTTCTTGCCTTGCCCACAGCTGGAGAGCTTCTGGAGCAGCCCAAAAGGCCACAAGGAGTTTCCGTGCTGTGCCCACATGGGACAGAGGGAGCAAGGTAGGCTTTGGGTCTCCAGCTGCCAAGACAGCATCTTCTACCTACCCATGGGCTGTGGACATCCCTGTTGTCCCCTTCTGACCCCAGTGTAGCTTGGACCCAGGGGCTCTGGCTCCCTCACAGTCACAGATAATTGATTCACCTTCATCAGTGGAAGAAGTGAGATGGTCTCTGATGGTAGGATTTGAGCAAGGGACCCACATGGTGTGTTAAAGGGAGCTCCAACCACCATGGGCACGATGCTACGAAACCATTGGAGGTGCTGGATGAACCCTGGTGTGGGGAGCTGGTTGTAGATGCTCTGCAGCAGCAAGAGGTTCAACCCCTGTTCTTTCCTCACACACCTGAACCCTCCTGAGCCCCTTTCCCCGAGGAGAACTCAGGACCCAAATTCACCTTCCCTTCCCCCCCAGCTCAGCAGCAACGCTGGGAATGTCACCCCAGCTCTGCTGGAGTTCAGGGGATCTCTGCAGGTCTCAACACAGAGGGAAAACCACCCAAGCTGAAGGCTGGAAGGTGGTGGGATGCCCAGGCACAGCCTACTAGTCCCATTAAGCAGTGAGCACCATTTCCAGAGTGGAGACAAGTCCCAGCAACTCCTGGGGCTGTGTCAGACTCCGTGGAGCACCATGGTCCTACAGTACAGTCACTTGTTGCTTATTGATGTTGTTCTGACAGCTCAGCTCTCGGGTCCATAATGATCCCTTTTAGCCCTGAAAAACGTCAGGCAGGTGGTTTAGAACCTGCCTGTGGCTGGGATGTAAAGGAGCATCCATGGATGCCTGCACAGCCCCATCCCAAAGCACCATAAGAAAACCTCAGCCAGGCGAGAGCCAGCTGGGAATAACGTGAGGTTTGCATCCTTCAGGAAGAGGGGGAGGAAGGAGGTTAACAACAACAACAACAAAAAATCAAAATACAGAGTTAAGCACCATCAAATCTACACTGGTCAGGTCATAAACATGAGGAGAGAACAAAAATAAAGTCACCACCTTCCAGCCTGGCACTGGGGATGCTGCTGGGGCTCTCCAGACCTCCAGGGCTGCAAGGTCATGGCCAGCAAGCTCCGGAGGGATCAGTCCCCAGCCCCCTGTCACCCTGGCAGCTGGACAGGCTGGTTGGCCACCCTTGTGTCCATAAATCATGTTGGTCCCGTTTAGCACGAGTGTTGGGGGAGCCCGGGGAGGGGGGGAGGTAGGTTTGACCCAGGGAAGACGGGGGAGGTTTCTCCTGTGCAATTTAGGGGCACCCCCTTTCCTGCCCTGGGCTCTATCCCAGGCAGTGACCCCCCTGGTTTCCACCCAGCCCCCCCAGCTCCCAGCCCCACCGGTGGGTTCTCGCGTCCTGCCGCAGCTTCGAGGTAGATGTTTGTTCCTGCCCTGGCTCTTCCTCCCCCCCCCCCCCCCCCCTCATTTGATACGTGCTCTGGACATCTCCCCCTCTCCCAATCCCTGGCTTCTCTGAGGTGTTCCCACGCTTGTCTCCTCCTTCCCATGAAGATAATTTTGAGTCTCCTCCCTATGCTGGGTTTTGCTGAGGTCACCCAGGTATCACAGAATCACAGGGGTTGGAAGGGACCTGGAAAGATCACCCTGTCCTTCCTCACGGACACCCCAGGACCTGCTCAGCACGGCCTCAAGGTGCAAAAATCCAGCTCCTGGGGCTTCCTCCGAAAATTGCAACTCTCCCTGGGCAACAAGCGCCCGGCGGGGACCGAGCACTTCAACGCCCTCCTCTTGAAACCCCGACCGCAGCTCTTGGAGCAAGGAGACCAGGGCCCAGCTTCCCAGGCCGGGCAGGGCTCCCCGCAGATGGGACGCCTGTAGCTGGGTCTCCCACCATCCAAGCGGTTGGACAGGCTGAGGACGCTGTTGGGGAGGTCCGGAGGGGTCTTGCCGTCCTTCTTGTAGGAGGACTTGTCCTCTTTGCTCTCCTTGGGGAGGTAGAAGGAGTAGCGGACCCGCGGAGGGGTCATCTTCCCCACCGAGAGCACCTCCAAAGTCAAGGGCTCCTGGATGGGTTTGAAGCCCTGCAGGCTCTCGACGGCCGTGCCGGTGCCGCTGTAGCGCAGGACGCTGCCCTTCACCAGCAGGTCCCTCTCCACGGCAGAGACGATGAAGTGCCCGTTGAGCAGGTACTTGCCCTGCCCGTTCTTCAGCGCCAGGTAGTTGTCGTCGCTGACCAGCCCCTTGTAGCCCCTCTGCCTGATGTCGATGTTGGAGGCGCCAGCAGGGATCACCACCACGAAGTTGTAGCCGTGCCTGGAGGGGAAGGGCGGGCAGGGCAGGTTGTCAGGCAGGGGCACCTCTGCCAGGGCTTGGTCTCAGCCCAGAGCTCTGAGGTCTTCCCACACTTGTCTCCTCCTTCCCATGAAGATAATTTTAAAGTCTCCTCCTTTTGCTGAGGTCACCCAGGTATCACAGAATCACAGAATCCCAGAGGTTGGAAGGGACCTGGAAAGCTCCCCCAGCCCAACCCCCCTGCCAGAGCAGGGGCACCCAGAGCACATCACACAGGAACGTGGCCAGGGGGGTTGGAATGTCTCCAGAGAAGGAGACTCCACAGCCTCTCTGGGCAGCCTGGCCCAGGGCTCTGGCACTCTCACAGCAAAGAAGTTCTTCCTGACATTCACATGGAACCTCCTGTGCTCCAGTTGGCACCCACTGCCCCTTGTCCTGTCACTGGACATCACTGCACAAAGCCTGGCTCTGTCCTCCTGACACTGCCCTGAACAGATTTGTGCCCATGGATGAGGTGGCCCCTCAGTCTCCTCTTCTCCAAGCCCAACAGACCCAGCTCCCTCAGCCTTTCCTCACCAGGGAGATGTTCCCCTCCCTCCAGCATCTCTGTGGCTCTGCCCTGGGCTCTTCCCAGCAGTTCCCTGTCCTTCTGGAACTGAGGGGCCCAGAACTGGACACAGGTCTGAGAAGGTGCTTCAGCTCCTCTGTCTCAACAGCACAGATGTACCAGAGAACTCCATCAGCAGAAGCTGGTAGCACTTTAAGTGTGCCCTGCTCCTCCCTCAGACCTAGCCTGGGTCTGCACACAGTGATGGACACTAGTTCTGCTGGGGAAGGACTCAGCCCCCAGCACCACCCTGCAGCCACCCCGAACAGCAGAGCTGGGGGAGGATGTGGCCTCCTAACACTTACATGGGTTTGGTGAACAAGCCTGAGACCTTCTTGCAGCTCTTGTTGTCTCCTCCACAGACGCTGCATTTGTCAAACTTCTTCTTGGAGCCCAGCTTCCCATCACAACCAGCTTTGATGCATTTGCCCTGGACACAGACCGAGGTGGAGTCTGGGGAGCAAGGGGTGCCATCCACAACCTGCATGAGGGTGAGAAAAACAAGCTGCTGCCTTTCCCTGTGCCACCCCCACAATCCTCCCCACCCAGATGCAACCATCCCACCCAGGGCTACCTGGATCAAGCCAGCAGCTCCCAAGGAGATGCCAGCAGCCACCTTGTCACCCTTTCCTCTTGCTCTGCTTTGCAGTTGGGAATTGTAGGGTCCCTGAGAAGAGCTGGGTGGGACCACATCCCTTTTCTGCTGCAGCTACGTAATTTTCTGCCCTTTCTGCTGCATGGGTGCAAAGGGGACAGGCTGTGCTGGGGACACAGCCAACCCCACGCTGTCTGGTGTGGTGCCACCATTGCCAGGACCACCATCCTCTATTTCAGGACTTATGGGCACATCCCAGAGGCACCTTCACAAACCTGGAGGAAGAAAGACCCTCCACGGACCAGCTCCACCCCTGAAGTGAGCAAGTGGGTGCATGCAGGCAGACCCACACCAGCCTGGTGGGTTCCCCTCCTCTACAACCTCATCTGACACCAGGCAAGGAGAAGGCTGGAGTCCTCCTGTAGCCCAGACGTGGACCCTGGGGGTCCCTCACCAACCTTGGGTGCCAGCACGTAGAAGTAGCCGGTGCCGTTAGCGCGGCAGATGAGCTTGCACTTGTCCCGGGGAGAAACACCCGAGTATTTGGGGACCCAGGAGACAGAGGCCGTGAGGCGGTTGGTGCTGTGGCTGTACCCGTTGAAAGCCTCACACTGCTCCTCGCGGAAGCTCTTCCCAGGCACTGGAAGGAACAGGGATGTGTGTGGGATTGGGGAGCATCCTTGGAGCTCCGGATCCGGTGTGACGGGGCGGCTGGAGGCCCTGCAGAGCAGGAGCTTTGCCCCAGCCCCTTACCTGCAGCAGGGCAGGGCTCCAGGTTGCAGGAGCGGTACTTGAGGCGGACGCCCTGGCAGTAGGAGCCCCCGTTGGCAGGCACGGGGTGGGTGCAGTCCCTCTTGGCCAGCTGCACCCCTCCACCACAGCTCCTGGAGCACTGCCCGTAGGGCGCCCACTTGGCCCAGCCACCGTCCACCTGGGGGGATAGGGAGGGGTGAGATGCTGCACCTGCTGCTGGCTCCATCCCAAGCTGGGTGTCTCCAGACTTGGACCTGTCCTTTCACGAGGAAAACCTCTGCTGGCTTCCCCTAAACCTGACCAGGAGTGGAGCATCAGCATCCTGCCCTGAGGAATGTCATTGAATGGTTTGGGTGGAAAGGGACTTTAAAGATCACCCAGTTCCACCCCCCTGCATGGGCAGGGACACCTCCCACCAGCCCAGGCTGCTCCAAGCCCCATCCAACCTGCCCTTCAACACTGCCAGGGATGGGGCAGCCACAGCTTCCCTGGGCAACCTGGGCCAGGCTCTCACCACCCTCACACTCCACAATTCCCTCCTCATGTCTCACCTCAATCTCCCTCTTCCAGTTTTCATCCCTTCCCCCTTGTCCTCTCCCTCCCTGCCCTTGTCCCAAGTCCCTCCCCAGCTTTCCTGGAGCCCCTTCAGGCACTGGAAGCTGCTCTAAGGTCTCCCTGGAGCCTTCTCTTCTCCAGGCTGAACATCCCAACTCTCCCAGCCTGGATCCAGAGCTCTTTCCCCCCAGTGCAACACCCAAGGGATGTCCCAGCACCAGGAGGTGGGGGATTTCTCACCCCAGCCACCCACAGAAGGTCTCACGGGGTGGTGCAGGTACTCACCCTGTACTTACTGATGTTGTGCCTCTCCACGCAGGCTCCCTTCAGGCAGAACCTCCCTTCCCCACAGCTGGTGCCATCAGCCCAGGGGAAGTGCCGGGTCTGGCAGACGATCTGTCCCCTGGCCTTGCCCGTGCACCAGAGCTTGGCACAGTACTGCATGTAGGGGCAGGGCTTGGAGCCCACCCCAAAGGCCAGCTCACACTGCTGGTTCAGGCTGTAGCTGGTCCCTGGCAGGTCTTCAGGCAGCGGGATGGGTTTGGTTGGCTGGTCCAGCAAGCAGTCTCCTGTGGGAGAGGGGATGGGGGCATCTACCAGGTCCTCAGGTGGGTTGTAGGGAGCAGGGTGGGTGGCAGGGTGGCTGCAGGGAGGTGAGGGAGGGCTCCTGGGAATTTGGGCAAAGCTATCCCAGCTAAATAGTGTTGATCTTCATTGGTTTTGTATGGAAAACCAGTTTGTTTTTTGTGAAAAACCGGGTGCTACCCCAGGGTTGTCCTCAAGGTCAGCTCTGCATCCCAAGTGACTCCATCCCTTGGTGGCACTGGGCAGAGCAGTGTTGGGAGCCTCAGGGCAGTGACACCCCAGCGCTAAGAAAGTTGGTGCAGAAACTCCACCAAGCCCTGCATTTCATAGAATCACAGAATGGGCTGGGTTGGGAAGGACACCTCCCACCAGACCAGGTTGCTCCAAGCCCCATCCAACCTGGCCTTGAGCACTTCCAGGGATGGGACAGCCACAGCTTCTCTGGGCCACCTGTTCCAGTGTCTCACTGAACACCTGACTGCAATCCTTACAAGAGTTGTAGGACCACAGGAGAGCTCTAATGTTTGACTGTCACACTAGGTGGGTTGTAGGGAGCAGGGTGGGTGGCAGGGTGGCTGCAGGGAGGTGAGGGAGGGCTCCTGGGAATTTGGGCAAAGCTATCCCAGCTAAATAGTGTTGATCTTCATTGGTTTTGTATGGAAAACCAGTTTGTTTTTTGTGAAAAACCGGGTGCTACCCCAGGGTTGTCCTCAAGGTCAGCTCTGCATCCCAAGTGACTCCATCCCTTGGTGGCACTGGGCAGAGCAGTGTTGGGAGCCTCAGGGCAGTGACACCCCAGCGCTAAGAAAGTTGGTGCAGAAACTCCACCAAGCCCTGCATTTCATAGAATCACAGAATGGGCTGGGTTGGGAAGGACACCTCCCACCAGACCAGGTTGCTCCAAGCCCCATCCAACCTGGCCTTGAGCACTTCCAGGGATGGGACAGCCACAGCTTCCCTGGGCAACCTGTAATTTCCTTCTAACTTTGTTCACAGAAGCAGGAAGAGCTGCTCTACAGCCTAATAAGCCTCTCCCAGTGACCATCCCCTGGGACAGGGGCACAGGGGGGAGGTGGGGGCAGCAGGAGGGCTCACCATGGCCGCTGTCGAGGAAGTCGGTGATGATGGCAGCACTGCAGGCTGACCAGGGGTTGGCACGGTCAATCTGGATGAGGGTGGGGGACATCATGTGGTTGGTCTTCAGCCTACCAAAGACCTCCTCACAGGCCTTCACGTTGTCGTGGGGCATGTTGAAGACGTGGCCTGGGCAGAGGGGTAAGGAGAGGCAGCATGAACGACCCCTCTTGGCATGCACAGCAGGGTCCCCACAGCTTCTTGCAGTGGGGGAAACTGAGGCACGGAGCAGGTCAGCCCCTTGCAAGGATGGCAAAGGTTGTGGGCAGCCCAGGAGATACGTGGGGAAGGGGCTGCAGGACCAGCACGTGTGAACCACCCTGCCAGGAGCAGCCCTGAGCCAGCACAGCTGTCCCAGGAGGGGCCAGAAAGGACAAAGGACATTGCAAAGAGAAGATTCACCACTCCTGCCCCCTCCCTCGTCCTCCTCCCCCCTCAAGTGTCTCCGGAGGTAGGTGTGCCCTCTGCCTGTTATTTCAGGACTCCAGAATCCTGGCAACTCACCCAGTGAGGGAGCAGCCACAACAGCAAAGCCTTTTCCTTTCTCGGTTCTTTCCCACCCAGCCTGCATCTCGTGCCCCAAAGCGGAGTTTCCTCCTCCCCAGACACTGGTTATTGTCTGATCTTCCAGCAGCTGAAACCAGGGTTTATTTTCAGCCTGGCATTGCTCCCGAGGGGACGGGGAGAGCAGGGAACCTTACCCAGCTCGTGGGCAGTGGTGAAAGCCGAGGGCAGCCCGTCGTCCTCGATGACGGAGCAGCTGCGCTTGGGGTCACACATGGTGCCCACGTCTGCCATCCCCAGCGTGTCACAGGTGGTGGCACCACACAGGTCCTGTGGGAGATGGAGGGGAGGGGTTAATCCCAGGTCCGGCAGGGGGATCACAGCTCCCCATCCCCAGAACAGCACAGGAGCCCATCCCAGGTTGCATCCCAAAGGGACTGGGGACTCCATCAGAGGCAGGAAACCTCACCCTGGACCAGAGTAATGATGTGTTTGCATTTAACCCTGGCACCGGGAATGTTGTTTATGCCTGGCATCCTCCCGTGCCTCCAGCAGCAGCTTTTCCCACTCAACAGACTCCTCCAGCAAAGGGTGGAGCTGGTTTCAGCACAGAGGAGTCAGCCTGGCTCCCTCCTTCAGTGCCAGCTGAGAGCGGATGCAGGCAGAAGGACAAGGAGGCACCTGGCCTTGGGCTCAGGGCTGAGCTGCTGCTGAATCCC